TGGCACCTGGGGGTAGCTGGTGGTGGAGTGCCTGCCTTCAGTACTGTTGGTGTGGTAGTGGCACCTGAGGGTAGCTGGTGGTGAGTGCCTGCCTCAGTACTGTTGGTGGTGGTAGTGGCACTCGGGGTAGCTGGTGGAGTGCCTGCCTTCAGTACTGTTGGTGTGTAGGCACCTCTGAGGGTAGCTGGTGGTGGAGTGCCTGCCTTCAGTACTGTTGGTGGTGGTAGTGGCACTCTGGGGGGTAGCTGGTGGTGGAGTGCCTGCCTTCAGTACTGTTGGTGGTGGTAGTGGCAATCTGGGAGGTAGCTGTGGTGGTAGCACTCTGAGGGCAGCTGTGGTGGAATGCCTGCCTTCACTAGCGGGACAAAGGATGATGGAAATGGTGTTGGTGATAGTGTGTGTTGCAGCTGATGACCCCGAGTGGGCGTTGTTGTTGTCTCTGGTCACACACCCGGGGCTGAGTGACTTTTATCTCGCTGCCACACCCACCACCCACTTGATCTCCACACCCACCGCCCACTTTGTACTTGGTATCCACACCCATCACCCAGTTGACACTTGGTCTCCACACCCATCACCCAGTTGGCACTTGGTCTCCACACACATCACCCAGTTGGTCTCCACGCCTCACCCATCTTGTTGGCTGTATTACCCATACGAAAAGTTGACATATTTTCACTAATACTTCCATCAGATTTGTCTTATTGCAATACTTTTATTATACGTTCATCAGATGGTAATTACTTCACACCTGTACTACATTATCGAAGTAAATCTATCCATGTAGTGATCTTTATAACTAACTTTTGTGATTCTCTTAAAAGCTGCATCTTACTGTACTTGTATTAGCTAACCAGATCACATAAGCAAAGTGGCTGCCTTAGTGTCGTCTTGCCGAGGGGGTGTTGTGTGTCACCTTTTCATGATGTTGCTGTCCTTCATTCACTCCTCTGTCTGTCTCTCACTCCTCTCTCTCACTCCTCCATACGTCCGTTCTTCTCTCACTTTTTATCTCTCAACGTCATTCCCTGTCTCATCTCCACTCCACTTCCCTGAATCTCCTCCTCTCTTTTCCTCAATGTCTCTCCCCCCTCCCCTCTTCGTTAGCCCCGCCAGGCACCCCTTATGACACCCATATTGATTGTCAGGTGTTTGGCTCCCGTACAAGTTGGTTCCCTGCCCTGTCTTCCTCCCTCTCTTCCTCCTTCTCCCCCCCTCTCTCTCTTCTCGTGTCAAAATACTCCCGTACTTCCTCTGAATATTCCATTTTGTTACCCAACATTCATGTGTATTTTATATGTGGAGACGGCCACACACACACACACACACACACACTGCCTGGGGGATGGAACTCAGGAATACGTTGTTTTTTAAGATTGAATGAAGTTTGCTATATGATTGATGGTATAATGATCATAAGTGTCACACAAGTGAGACAGAAGACAATAACAAAACGTACGTAATACACCAGCTACCGGAGCCGCAGGTGGTGGAGGTGAGAACAAGGACACATGCCGCCACTAGTTTTTCCCTCCAGCAGCACGTGGCACGAGGGGACGCGCGGCGCACTCATGACCGTCACGCTGGCAGGCTTAGGGTCCCAGTGGGGGGATGTTGGCACCACACACAGAGGGGAGCACGAGGTGAAACATTGTTGGTAATGATGGAATTGGTGAGAGGGGGGAGGGGGCACGTGAGGAGAAGACGTGACTATGGGATACCCTAGTCACGGGGCGCGTGCAGAGGGCCGGTCACTCTTTAGATAGAGGGATTGATGCCCTCTGTCAGTGACCTGTGCCGTGCCACTCGTGACACTCCTCCCGTTCCTCCCCCCTCCTACCCAACTCGCATGGCACCAGGCATACCCGGTGCCAGTACTTAGCCACACCCGCAGCCATACACCTCGCTGTCTCTACCCTCGCCCTGATAACTTGTGCTGTGTGAAGTAGGCAGTGAAGCTACGACTGACTGGCTGCTCTAGGCCTACTTGATAAGATAACCTTCAGGCGTATTGGTGTTTAGAAGTTAATTGGATTGTTATTGTTGCCTGCCTCTGTATAGCGCCTTGGACCCTGTTAAAGTAACTGTACAGTGATTATGCAGAACCTGTGAAGGTTATTGTGTCATCATTGTGGTGTGGTGATAATGGTGTGTTGGTTTATAGTTCGAAACATTGAAAAGTCGTCCATCCGAGTCGAATAATTCCTTAACATATTCGAAATAATCATCTCAGTTTTATAATATAAGGCGATTCGGTCTGCTTGAGTGATGGGTTTGGGTGACAGCGGCTATAAGATGTTCTTCAAGATTGACTGGAGTCAGGCTTGTATACAAATATTAGAAATGATATGGTACTGTTGTGATAAACTCTGGACTCTCTTCTCCAACAACTACTTCTTGAAAAATCGACAAGAGTAAGTTTTTTTTTGGTTTTCCATTATGGGAGAACACAACATGTGACCAGCAGCTACACAACGTGAGGAGAGCGCCCTATTGACGTCACCTGTAGAGGCTCCACCACTTACCCCATGATGACGAACACGGGCCTCTATATCACCTCCAGATAAGACATAAGATACAATAGTGTGTTAATCTGAGGCAGTGAATGCGTCCCGTCCTCAGTAACAGGAAGGTCGAGGTGGAAGACGGATTAGTGCAGCTTTAGTGATCATCAATAAAGATAATCTGCCAAGGGTTAAGGGCACCCGAATTAATTTCTTGAATTTCGTCTAATAATCTAGTGGGTCATCGGAAACCTTTTCACAATCTTCCGAACATGTTATCTGTATCGTCTTGAACCTTCCAGGCAACTGAAGGAAGCCTTTGAAAAAAAAATCCTCATTTCTTCCCAGAACATAGCAAAGGTCTTAAAGTCATTTGAATTACCCAGTGCAGCTTGGCGAACATCAGAAGATCCGTGGGGTATTTTCACCCATTTGAACGTCTCCGATGGTTTCCAGAACGTCCCGAAATGACTCTACTCCAGAGAGCCGGAGGAGGCATTGAACCTTCGAAACACGAGTAGTGTACAGGGGGAGCTGTAAAAGTCTTTCGGGCATCCCAAGAAGGCTAAGAATTGGAGGTGTGTACAGTGAACGGGTCCCATGACTCGGCCAAGGCGGTATTCTTGAACTGAGAGTTTAACATTCACAAGGCGTTCAGTAAATATCTATGCCTGGTGCTTTGTCAGCGACGCAGGCAGGGCTGACCCTGGACTGCGGTGGCGGCTACCACTGGACGAAATACTTTTATAAACGTTAGAGAAACTTGAGAGATTAACGAAACTTTTAAAGAAACACTTGCGTCAGTAAGGCCTTAATAGTTACGTCTAAACACATGAGAGAACATTGAAACGTCCGAGAGAACACATATGTGAACAAGATGTAAACAAATACAGAAGATCATTGGTGATGAAAGGGAGCGTATATTTGTGAACAAGATAATGCTGCACTGAAGTATCCTGGTGGAGTAACCGCTGTGGGTTGCTGCCAAGTGTATGTATAACTCACCAGAACTGTGAAAAGTGAGATCTTTGTGTTGTCACGAGGACTGAACATGTTGAAGAGCTGTTTCCCCGACGATATGGTGTGGGATCCTGAAGGATACGGCTATCTAGGGACGCCCCCGTCGCCTACTCTTACACCATCACCGCCTTACCTGGGTGGGTCACTGGACAGGTTCCATCAACAACACCACCACCCCCCGAGGAGACACAGGTACTGCTCCTCACCCATCTGGCTCACACCTGGGGGCACCACATCACTCATACCTGCCAGGGGACGGTGCCTGTCATAGTACACCTACTGGTAGTTCTTAAGTTTTAAATTTAGATAAATGACAGCAACTGAGTTATTATGTTTATAGACATTTTATAAAACTAGGAAGTGGCATATATCCCCTCAGCCTGACGTACAGCGGAGTATAGGGTGGCGTGACGGAGGTATGTTAGACCGGGTGTACCCTTAGTAGTCAAGGTCGTGGTGGTGGTGTGGGAGAGTGAGGGTACGACAGTGGTTCAATGGCCGCTGCTAAACCCAGGATACTCTTGCTTGTCTCATATTACCCAGGGAAGTAACCTATTTGTTTATATCATTCTTATCTCTCTCTCTCTCTCTCTCTCTCTCTCTCTCTCTCTCTCTCTCGTACGTTATCACTACCAAGTCCTCTTTGTATGCTGTATATACAGTAAATGTTAAGCTGATCACCAGGGAGAACCTGTCCCTTAGCGCTAGAGACGTTAGGTGTGGTTGAGGACCCGTCCCTTAGCGCTTAGAGACGTTAGGTGTGGTTGAGGACCCGTCACTCAGCGCTGGGTGTGGTGTAAGATGGTATCAGGCCCAGGAAGAGACATGTTAACGCAGTGTTTATATGGCTCCCCGTAGTGATGGTGTAGCGGCGTTCACATGTAGATCACTTAGCTTGTGTGGTCGAGGACTCTGATGCTTAATACCCGCTAATAATAATATAATAATAGTGACACTAGTAATGAATTATATTGTTAGTAATTATAATAGTAATAAGAATGATAATATAGATAATTAGAGGAGTAATAGTAATGGTATTATTATTATTATTATTATTAGATTTTTTAATAATAGTAACAATAATAATGTGATATTGATAGTAGTTTTAGTAGTAGTAGTAGAAATAATAATAATAATAATAATAATAATAATAATAATAATAATAATAATAATAATAAAACAATAATGTGGCTCGAATCTTTTTGAGTAAATAGATGCATTAATATTTAATTGTGATTTGTTATTGTGATTGTGAGAATGTCTTAGTGGGTGTAACTCTTGTTGTCTATAGTGTGGTGTGTAGTAACGCCTGTAGCTTGTGGTCAGTGTTTAAGAATTATACTTCTGTCTTGTCAATATGTCATTATTATTAGATTTAATATTTTGTGCTTCATCACTAACAAGTTGATATGTGTCTCATCACTAAGTTTATAATTATGTCTCATCACTAACAAGTTGATCTCTTATGTCTCTCAGGAACAGCGAGAAGCGGAAGGAAAAGTCCCGAGACGCCGCAAGATGTCGTCGTGGGAAGGAGAGCGAGATCTTTACGGAGCTGGCCAGCGCCCTGCCCCTCCCGGCCCAGACCATAGCCCAGCTGGATAAGGCCTCCGTCATGCGCCTCACCCTCACCTTCCTCAAGACCCGCGCACTCTGTCAGGCAGGTCAGTACTACACACACACACGATCAAGAGGAGGGGAGGAGTTGGGTGCAGTAGGTGTTGGTGGGGGGTAATGGTAGTACAGGGTGGGGGGGTGTTCTCACAGCTTAAAGTAAGGTTCTCACGGTTGCTGGTGAGGTTCCCACGGCTCACCACCTGTTCAATAGCCCCCCTCCCTCACCCTTCACCCCTCCCCACCTTCCTGCTACTCTTGCTGGTGTTGAGCTAGTGAAGAATATGCGGGTCAGGGATGTGCGCTACTAAGGGGAGGTGGTGGTCTACTGACGAGGGGGCAGCCGAATGGGGAGAAAAATGAAGGGCGTGAGAGTTGAAAGGGGTTATAGGGAATGGGGGTGTTGAATGGTGGATGGGATGGGAAGTTGAGGCGGGTTTCAAGTCATGAGTTGGGAGGGAGGGAGGGGAGGTATGGAGGTTGGTGGAAGGGGGAAGAGAGAGGAGGTGGAAGCCGCAGAGAAGAGAGGTAGGTAAGCAAGGGAGGAAGGAAGAGAAAAAGGAGGCAGGGGTGGAGAGAAGAGAGGTAGGTGGTAAGGGAGTGGAGGTAGGTAAAGGAAGAGAGGTATGATGTAGGGGTGGCAAGAGAAGAGAGGTAGGTGGTAAGGGGAGTGGAGGTAGGTGGAAGGGGAAAGAGAGGTAAGGAGGTAGGTGGAAAGAGAAGAGAGGTAGGTGGTAAGGGGAGTGGAGGTAGGTGGAAGGGGAAAGAGAGGTAAGGAGGTAGGTGGAAAGAGAAGAGAGGTAGGTGGTAAGGGGAGTGGAGGTAGGTGGAAGAAGTACGTCACGTATTTTGTTGTATCAGCTGTCTTATTCCTGATGACATTCACTATTGTCTATATAGCGTTAATATTATACTCCGACTGTAGGGATTTCCTCAAGAACCTGTAACCTGGTGTGTTTTCTCCTCTACACAGTTTATAACATGGGATGGTGCCTCTATATCTGGTATACGAAGCTTCCATTATAAGAATCACTGCCTCCTCCTTCTCCTCCTCCTCCTCCTTCTTCTCTTCCTCATTCTCTTCCTCCTCCTTCTCTTCCTCCTTGCTATAACATCCAGTACTGGGGGAATTCCCGAGTCAGTGAAGCACAGGTTAATATAAGAGAGTAATTTCTGAAGTAATGTGTAAGTAAATGAAAATAAATCACCCTTCCTTGATAATAGAATAACCAGGAGGTATTATGGTCGTTGTTGTAATAGACTACTGATATATTCAGCTGTGACTCGATCCCTTGACGCGGAGTATTGGATTTCTTGTTGGACGTTGACGTAGAGTTGGATCCAGAGTAAGTGTTTGTCCATTCGTCACACCTTACTACGTCAGTGTTTAACAGACGTAAGGATAAAAATAAAAAGTCTTATGGGGGAATAAGACTTTTCTAAGTATATATTTTATCTCAGGTGCTCGATGAAATGTATGTATAGTGCGTTCTCGAGCTGATATACAGAGTTAATGAAGACATGTCAGACGTCTATATATATATTGGTTGGTGATATAAGATTGTTTGTGTTCTGTTATAGCGCCAGTTGTTCTTCCTTAAGTTGATGGAGAATTGATAATCTTCACTACATGGATATAAATGTTGCTCCGGTGATGGATGATCGTGGTGGCGGGAAGGTGTGTCAAGTGAAACCCGAAACTTGCTGTCCCTAGAGTTGCCATGCTTCCCCCTCCTCCTCCCCCTCCTCCTCCTCCTCCTTCCTCCTCCACCTCCACCCCTGCCCCAGACTTTGACGAAATATTTGCATTCAGTAATTTTACCAGAAACAATGTCCACTAGTGTGAGATGGAAGCCGTTTTCAGAACCAGGTGCCATAGCAGGTTGTTGCCGCCGCCACCCTAGCTATTTAAGGTTTTAACGATGTTGGGGTAAAGTATGGACGCCTCTGTGTCTGCCCCATGGGGTCATTTACGTGTGTGTGTGTGTGTGTGTGTGTAATAATAATAATAATAATAAATAATAATTAACGGTTTATTGAAGAGCTTGGCAGCCAGAAGGCTGAAAATATACAGTTATATATTTGGGAATGGGCGCACGAATTACAAATAATATACAAGTGACATAAGTGACACAAATAAGACATATAGTAACTTAGATGGGGATCAGCTAAACTACAGTTCATTTCAACATAGTGACAGTGAGGAGCAGTGTTTACTGGGAGTGAATACACTGATTTATTACATGTTATTGATATTTTACAATGGTTGGGACTGGGCTGTTCTTATAGCGATCAGTTCGTGCACGTATTGATGCGGTTGAGATGAACAGCAATTCTCGGACAGGGGATTCGTAGGGGCGGTGTCGGGGATGGTGTAGAAGTTTTACCAGCAGATGAGGCCGTGGTGATGGTCAGTGAGAGTCGAAAGGGTCAGTGTGTTGAGCGCTTCTTGATGTGGAGTAGGAAGGAGAGAATAATTTGCATGCCCTTTGCACCAGTGTTTACGTTGTGTGGCATTTAGGGAGGAAGACCAGGTGGGGGAGGCACAGAGCTTGGGAAGTATGAATGTTGAGGGCTCGTGTGGAGGGAACTCCGAGGACTTGAGTCGGCGGAGGAGGTGGAGACGGAAACTGGAGGATTTGACAACTTCACTGACGTGTGGTTTCAATTTAGTTTGTTGTCTATGGTGACCCGAGGAGCTCTGTGGAATCTACAACCTGGAGTGTGTTCGGACCTAGGGTAATGGAAGGAGGTGGGACAATGTCGGAGGAGAGGTTGATGTGCATGACCAGGTCTGTATGTTGATGGTGACATGGTTGTTGGTGGCCCAGTTTGGAGACTGGTCAATAAATCCTGAAGGGCGGTATAGTTGGGAGCAGAATTGTTGACGCTGATCCCAATGGTGAGCGTCGACATATTTCCAGACAGGGTTTCTAGGGCATCATTGATGAGCATAAGGAAGCAGAGTGGTCCCATCTTGGTGCCTTGGGGACGCCACAGGTGAGTGACTGAAAGTGGAGACAGCCCTCAAGCGCAGCCGATGCCAGCCTGAGGAAGTCTGCTATGGTATGAGACTTCTCCGAAGCCGAGTCGATATTGTTAGATTATATTGTGGATTAGGCCGAACTGCTTTTGTGTGTGTGTGTGTGTGTGTGTTCCTTTCGAACTGTACTGTGATTTTATGCGGGTAAAGAGGGTTCTAGTTGTCGCTTTGTCCGTCCTAGTGTTTATCTCTGTAGGTCTCATTCTCGGTTTTGGTCTTCGTGGTCTCGACTATATGACCGGTAAATACTGTTGTCTGTCACCCCCCCCCCAAATCTTATCTCAGAAACAGCTTGACGATCAGAATTTATTTGTGATGTGAGAGCCGTCTAGTGCTCAATCTCTCGGGCGCTCCTCCTGGTGGTCAAGGTCGCGGCTGGAAGGTTTAAAGGTCTAACGTTAGGAGAATTTTATAAGAGTTACTGGTTCTTGTTTGTTTGTTTTCTGTGGATGGTGATGGGGAGGAGAGGGGTTTGGTGGTGGGGAGGAGGGGCTGGTGGTGGGAGGAGAGGGGCTGGTGGAGGGGGGCTGGTGGTGGGTGGAGGGGTTGTAGGGGAGGAGGGAGCTGGTGGGTGGGGAGGGGAGGGGGGCTGCAGGGGGAGGAGGAGCTGGTGGTGGGGGGTGGAGGGGGCCGTAGGGGAGGAGGGAGCTGGTGGTGGGGGAGGAGGGGGGCTGGTAGTGGGGAGGAGGGAGTTGTAGTGGAGGAGGCTGGTGGTGGGGAGGAGGGGGGGCTGGTGGTGGGAGGAGGGGCTGGTGGTGGGGTGGAGGAGGGGGCTGTAGTGGGGAGGAGGGGGCTGTAGTGGGGAGGAGGGGGCTGGTGGTAGTATGGAAGGGGGACGGGGCTGGTGATGGAGAGAGAAGTGTGGGGGACAACGAAGTTATAAAACACCTGAAAATATATTTGTTCCAAGTAATAAAAAAAAACAAGAAAAAAAAACTCATACAAAAACACAACCTTCATCTTGATTATGAGAACAGTTGATCTTTCTTTTGCTGTCCTCAAGGTAAGTGAAGAGAGTAAAACGGCTGAATGCATTGGGATCCGTTTTCTGTCTTAGCTACGTAACTGTGTGATATCCATGATTATTTCCTCCACTATAACCTTCCTTTGTCCCACCCGACTGCGTCATATCTGTGGGGAAGGTTTGCTGGATCGTTTACTATCTATAATATAAAACAGTCAAGAATAAAAAAAGGCTTTAGACGAGGGATATCACTGGATAACTTCACAGCCATGGGGGGGTCACTGACAGGTGGATGCATCGTAAACACTCATGAAAGCAGATCAGTCAGAGATAATGGTGTAAACATGGGATTTTTTCGTCTTGTTGTCAAAATACAAGAATCATCAGACAGCAGCTTAGAAGAGTCTCAGTATTGACCTAAATAAGTTCCGGGAAAGTGTGGCTGATCAGCTGGGTAATGGAGACTGACTTGGCGAATACCGGGGTGAGGTAGAGTCCAGGTAATGGAGACTGACTTGGCGAATACCGGGGTGAAGTAGAGTCCAGGTAATGGTGACTGACTTGGCGAATACCGGGGTAAGGTAGAGTCCAGGTAATGTAAGAGACTTGGCGAATACCGGGGTGAGATAAAGTCCAGTGTACCCTCAGTGAACACGCTATAAACTTCAGGTATATAAAAGGTGGGAGCGACCAAGGCCTCAGTGGTGAGTTATTAGAGGAGCGAGAGAGAGCCCCAGTACCCGCCAGCAGCACCACCTCCCACGCCACCGTCAGATAAAAAGAATATAGTCATACAGTCACCACTCATGCAGGTGTATAAGGTGAGACAGGGGAGATGGGGTCGTCTGAGAGAGAGAGAGAGAGAGAGAGAGAGAGAGAGAGAGAGAGAGTTGTATGTGTGGTGTTACTGATGGTGTGGTGGTCATTGTGTATTGTATGTGTACGGTGTGAGGATGTGGTGTGGGTGTTGCTATAGAACTGTCATCTATCTGGATTAGGGTTGGCCGTGCTCTGGGTTTGCCGGCTCCGGGGTGGCTCCAGTA